TACACTACTGCACGCAATGTTTCGGCAACTTGTTTAAAACTTGGTCTGCTTTGTCTACTTCTTGAACTTGTGATACTTTATATTAAGCTCATCTGAACCCGCTCATCACGAAGCATGAGTTTCCCAGAGTACGCTGTTTTATAGGACATCTATTGTCTTTCTGCCTCAATCCTCCGCCTCTTGTTTTTCCTTTTGATTTATCTCTGCATCTGTGGACTCCACTTCCAATAAATACAAGCGATCGACCATCAGACGAAAATAACTTCCTCTTATGTTGCTCCAACATTGCATTTAGGTGTTGAGTTTCCGGACGGTTAGCCTCACACTTGTAAACAAACCTGTGTACAGCAGTTGAATATGCAGGTGATACAGCTTGAGATGAGTGTGTGAAAGGGGTGTAAAGTAGTTTCAGTGGCCTTGTGAGCTGGTGTGCTCAAACTGTAGTGACTGGGGAGGGACATTGATTTAGCACACTCTGAACGAAGCAACAGTATCGTCACGTGTAGGTCATTTTAAAGTAGGATGGGACTATTTTCATTGGAAAAAACTTGTAAATATAGAACTTTGAGACACAGGCACACGATTTTATGAAGTTTTTTCATCAATGGAAGCAGGACCTTCAGACTCACACTATAAAACTGTAACAACCTCCACTGGCCTTGCAGAATCAGTATTTCTTGAGTGGTGTATGGGCTTGATTTTCTCGACTGTCCACATCCGAGCATGTGTGGAGCAAAGGCACACCTGGAGAGTCTTGCATTGTCACCATGCTCTCATAGATAGCTGCTTATATTTTGGCACTTTATCCCCTACATATTTAGTTATAGGGACTTAAATATTGAAATAGAATTGGTGTTGATCTCTACTTTATGTTGTGGCCGTTGTGCTGGGTTTAGTTTGGGATCTTTGTTGCACATCATCACAATGTCTCCTTTTATGTGTATCTCTACTGTAACGATCCAATAAACATAGTGCACAAATAACCTAAAAAAAACACACACAATCAATATTCCACACACAGCACTGCTATTATAGCTACTCACCAGCTGCACTCAGAGAAGAGTTATTTAGGGGTAAATCAATGATAAGAGAGGGACTGTAGGTTGTGTTTGTAGTTGCCATTGTTGTTCTAAAATTTAGTTGAGCACATCCGAGCCTTGGCTACGGTGGCTCAGTGGTTAGCACCGTGTCCTCATGCTTGAAAATTCGCACTTTGCGTCCTGGCTAGGACACCTTGGGTATTTTTGCATGGAGTTTGCATGTTCTCCCCGTGCAGCGTGGGTTCTCTCCGGGTTCTCCAGCTTCCTCCCACACAGTCCAAAACCATGTTGAGGTTAATTGGTGATTCTAAATTGTCCATACGTGTGAATGTGAGTGTGCAAGATTGTCTGTCTCTAAGTGTAGCCCTGTGATAGACTGGTGACCTGTCCAGAGTGTCCCCTGCCCTCACCCTGAGTCAGCTGGGATAGGCTCCAGGGGGTGTATAGATAATGGATGGATGGACATCCAAGCCTGTGCACTCTAAAATGTGTACAGTGTAAACCGGAAGTTTACATACACTGTATAAAAATACATAAAACCTTTCTTTTCTCACTATCTGACATTAAATCAGACTAAACTTTTCCTGTTTTAGATCAGTTAGGATTACCATTTTTTTCTATTTGCTAAATGTCAGAATAATGAGAGAAAGAATTTCATATTGCTTTCTTCAAAGTCAGAAGTTTACGTACATTTCCTGAGGATTTTGTAGCATTCTCTTTAAACTGTATGACTTGGGTCAAATGTTTCTGGAATTCTTCCACAAGCTTATTATAATAGTTTGATAGAATTCTGGCCCATTCCTCCTAACAGAACTGGTGTAACTGAGTCAGGTTTGTAAGCTGCCTTGCTCCAGACACGCATCTTTTCAGCTTTGCCCACAAATTTTCTACGACATTGAGATCAGGGCTTTGTGATGGCCACTCCAAAACATTGACTTTGTTGTCCTTAAGCCACTTTGTAAATAATTTGGTGGTATGCTTGGAGTTATTGTCCATTTGGAAGACCCATTTTCCCCCAAGTTTTAACTTCCTAGCTGATGTCTTGAGATGTTGTTTTTGTCCCTGTGTGCATTTGTAAACTGTAATCTGGCTTTTTTTAATGTTGCCTTTGTGGTAATGTCTTCTTCCTCTCTGAGTATCCTTTCAGCCAATGTCAGTACAGGACTGGTTTCACTGTGGATAATGACACTCTCTTACCAGCTTCAGCAGCATCTTCACAAGGTCTTTTGCTTTTGTTCTGGGGTTGATACGCACATTTCACACCGGAACACCTTCATCTCTGAGACACAGAACCCGTCTCTTTCCTGAGTGGTATGATGACTGGACAATCCCATGGTGTTTATACTTAAAATTTGTCCACTTACAGCAAAGACTTATAATTATAGTAGTTAGAGACATAGCACTTAAAAAATCCTTTTATTTACTTGAAAATGCTGGAATAACTTCCAACTGCTCACGAAAGCAGCAATACTGGATACTCTGTGGTACGGTAGGTATGGCATACATACATGGTACATATATAACAGTTCTATGCCTCATTGAGTAAAAGAATCATTCAGACACACCAAGTGAATATCAAGGTCATACTGTATGGATTAGCCAAGTTTACATAATAGAAGTGATATGCAGCTGCTTTCATAACTCTCCTGAGATCAGAAGGTTGTGGATAAACATTCAACATATAAGAATTTCACCAGGTAAGTAGAATAAATGATATCTTTGGTTGTAGAGGAAAAGCTAATTTGTTTGTTGGTTGGAAATATTTTCATTAGAAGTTGTCTCAACTCAAAAAGCTTGATTGCAGTTTGTTTCATTGCATTTTAGCCGTTGAGCTCAAACATGATAGTTTTAGAGGTCATGACACAACCGAACCAACAGCTGCTGGAAGAGGAAAGATGGCAGAAGAATTTAGTTTATTGCTTTAATTTATATTTCTATGGTGCCAACTCACAAAATATGTCATCTCAAAGCACTTTACATAGCAAGGTGACAATAATACCATTTATTTATTTATTTTTAATTTAATTTTTTTTTTTTTTTTTTTACAAAGAAACCCGGCACATCCAAAGTTTCATGTGGACTGAGCGTTTGTGTGGCAGCAATGGGGTGGAGAGAATATCACCTTTACCTGGAAGGAAAGAAACAACCTCGGGGAGGGTGGACATCTGCCTTACCCAGTTTTGGTGAGGGCAAAGGAGAAAGAGAGCCGGATAGCAGATAGAAAACACACAAACAATGTATAAGAGCACATACAACAGAAGAATCATTATTCGCTGCATGTTGTTCATTTTGATGCATATGATCTTTTGCGAAGGGTGAGAAATGAGTTTTGCAGCCCAGCATTATAATAAAGCCTTACTCGTGAATTTATTTTAACCTCTTAAGCTCTTGTTTGATATGCATTTTCTCAAAAATTTCTCTTTGCTATTTGATTTGATCAAATAGCTTCTTTTTTTTTTAAATTCCTCTTTGCTATTTGATCAGATCAAATAGCAAAGAGGAAAAAAAATATCATATATAAACAAAACAAAAATAAATTGAAAAAAATAAAATTAAAAAAATATGTAAACATAAATAACAATAATATATTTTTCTTTAAAAAAGTAATTTAAAAAAAACTACTGTGGTAATATAACCCTAAACGTGGACAGCAGGTCTTAAGAGGTTAACCCTGTTCAGGACTTTCATGTTTCCATATGTAGAAGGTCTTTTGGGGTCCATTGGACCCCAAGAAATGTGCAAAATATTTGTTGGTATTCATTGTAGACTTTTATACTATGTTAAAAATAATAATAATAATCCTGATAAGTTGACATATTTGTGGTTCCAAATGCATGACAAATGTCCCTCTTTTTATATAAAAAATAAATAAATAAATCTTCCAAAAAATAAAATAAACAACCCCTGTCACCTAAACCAAGTGGCCTGGATAGGGGTCCAAGAGACCCCAAAAGTCCTAAATAGGGTTAAGGGAGGAAACGCAAGCTGTGTATTTAATCTTTTTCTTTTTCTTTTTTATTTCCAGGCCGTCATTTGCAGTTTCATGAGGCGTTACATAACCTCCTGGCAGAGAGGCAGCACACTTCATGAATCCGAGCAGAGCTGGCTGCTTCCTTAAACCCGGCAGGTGGCGGGTTACAGTGACGACAGGAAGGCAAATTGTTCTCCAGCTCAAACAAACACACACACACATACACGCAATAAGGATTGGAGGAAAAAAAAAAACGCATTTGCAGGCAATCGAGCCAGCTCGATATTAAAAGTCGCACTGATAACTCGTCAGCTCGCCGTGCATGTTGACGCAGCGCTCTCCAGAAGGTGTGTGTCACCGCACGGACGGACGGACGCGCTGCCTCTGCGTCGACCATCTGCGCCCCTCCCTCCCTCCATCCCTCCCTCCATCCCACTCGCAGCATCACTAGCAGCCCCGCGACGCTGTCATAAAGAATAAATCCCCCCGTTTGACGATCCTGAGGAAAAAGGAGGGGGTCGGAACTGTCGTATTTTTCTGAATGGTAATTGCGGCAGCGTTAATTCGTGAGTACAGGCCACTGGATGCGCCTCTTCCTCCCCGCGCGTTACGTTATATTCTGTTTTTTTTCCGAGGATAGTCGAGCGTCGTACGTTGTGAGCTGATGTGATTCCTCTTTAAGGGGTTTCCAAGGGCATCGGTGAGAGGCGAAGTGCGGCAGCGATGTGCACGTCTGCCGGCTAGACGGACAGAGACAGCTTGTTCCAGGGAGTCACATCGGGGCTCCTCCTGCTTCAGCTCCTCACTTGGTTCACCGCCTGGTTTTTTAGGATGCGACGTCATGAGTTGATCGCGCCTGACAGATGTTGCTGTGTTGCAGTTGCTTCATAGCTGCTCCCATCCTCCTCCTCCTCCACCACCTCCTCCTCCTCCTCGCTCATTCAGTGATGCTTCTGTGAGAAAGAGAGAGAAGGGAGAAAAAAAAAATCCAACAACAACCAAACAGTTTATGTGCTTCATGTTTAGTCCTCGCTTCGGACACATCGCGACGCTCGTCTTAGTCTTCGGGATTGCATAAGATGATACCTGGATCTGCCGCATCAATGCTACCATCTGCAGAAGCTGCGAAACTGTACCAGACCAATTACGTCCGCAACTCCCGTGTCATCGGACTTTTATGGGCCATCTTCACTATCCTGTTCGGCATCGTTAACGTGACCATCTTCTCACAGCCCTATTGGATCGGAGATGGCGTGGACACGCCGCAGGCCGGTTACTTCGGCCTTTTCCACTATTGCATCGGGGACGGGATCTCCAGAGAGCTGGCCTGCCAGGGAAGCTTCACCGAGTTCGCCGCCATCCCCTCCGGTGCGTTCAAAGCCGCCTCCTTCTTCATTGGAATGTCTATGATGCTGGTTGTCACCTGCATCGGCTGCTTCAGTCTCTTCTTCCTCCTCAGCACCTCCACCGTGTACAAGATCTGTGGCTGGATGCAGGCAGCGTCAGGTAAGAGCCTCTTCACAGCCTGCATCACTTACATGTACAAGGTGCATGCATGATCATCACTGAATACCTTTCCCTGTGTGTGTATGTTTTTAAACATTTTGGTGCCCAGGGAGCAGATTTGATCAAATGACATACTGAGTTTTAGAAACCCTTAAACTCCCAATGGATGGATTGGCTTATGATTGATGAGCTGATGAGATAAATTAATTGGGATCAGCCAGGGTGAAGACAAACACACAGGATGGACATGTTGCTGAGGACTACTGTATTGACAGCTCTTACTTTGTGACTGTGTAAGCTACAGGTGTAGTCACATATGAAGGAGCTTATCGGTTTTAACCACTAAATGGAGCAAACCTCAAACAGTAATCTATCAAAAAAAATATATACATATATGCTGGTGTTGCAGGGATGGCAGGTTCATTCTGTTATTTTGTTGTTGTTTTTTGTGGGATGTATTCAAGTTAAACCTGATTACATGACAGTTGAGTCACTCGTCCCTTTACATAATCAATGAAAACATGTCTGTCTGTGGTCGTACATTTTTACTAATGCAACACCACCAACCTCTGACAAGTGCACATCACCGTTAATTGATGGTCAAGCATGATGCAGGAATGTTAATTAAAAGGTCAGTTTACAAAAGCTGAATTTACATCTTAGATTTTGCCAAGACTGCACAATCAGATAAAATATGCATTTAGTTCCATGTTTTCTCGGTGGTATTTCATCTCATTTAAAGTGAGCCGCATTCATCAGTTCCTGCATAATCTTCAGTCCGTCCTCAGCCAACAGATGTGTTGGCGTTCCTCGTGTGTCGGAGCTGGTGTTTAAAATTTTTGTAGAGGTCAAGGGTTCAAGCTTGCTGGCAGCGTTTTGTCACCGCAACTGTGGGCTAATGTCATCCAGCGTGAGCGTGGGCCTCCGTCATCCGAGGCGTCCGCACGTTGCCAAACATCGGTTCTCCTCAGCTGCACCACTGGTCGGAGCGGTCGGGCTTCCTGTTCAGCAACAAACACAAATGAGGGGGGATTATTTGGAGCAGGTCCAGCTCGGCGTGTTATGTTGGGCTGAATTAACGCAATAAGCCTGTCTAATGAGGAGACCGCTGGGCTTTGTGCTTCTGCAGCTAAGAGATGAAAGAGAAAGCCAAGAGGAGAGACCCTGACCATGGCAGGCTGGCACAGGGATGCCTAATGAGCAATCCTGGCTGCTTAGCACTGTCAAACTTTATTACACTTAGCTGAAGGTTAAACGCATGCTGCCTGCATCGTCTACAGCCCCGGTGGAAGACAGGTGGGCCACTGGCAATCCCTTTAGTGTCAGCTGGTGTTTTGATAGCGAGGTACAAATCATCAATCTGATAAAAACAAATGGCAGTGAGCGTGTGCAAAAAAAAAAAAACAGAAAAGCTGGTGTGTTTTTATTGCTCCCTTTTCCTTCATTTTTCACTTTTGGCAACACAAAACGTGGGTCAGCGGTAGCTTGTTGTCACATCCCTGCTGCTTGACTGGTCCAAGGACATGAATGACACAGTCAGTATTCAGAGCACTGCATCTCTCCTCCATGGCACCAAGCCTTTTTTTTTTTTTTTTAGGTTTAGATTTATATTGGGTACTTTATGGTATGGTGGGTAGGGAAACACAGCATGTATGAGCACCATGCCTCGTTGAGTACAAGAGCTATTCAGCCACAGTAGGTGAATATCAAGGTCACACCGCATGTGCCGGCCAAGTATACATAATTTAAGCGATATGCAGCAGTTTTCATCAATCCCCCCGAGGTCAGAAGGTTGTGGATAAACACTCAACATATAGAAATTTCATGCCCACCACACAAGAGCTCCTCCCTGAGCGAACGTAGAGCGAGACGCACCTCCAGGATGAGTTTTCTCTGAAGCCCAGGTAAAAAAAAAAAGAAAAAGAAAAGCTAAATGTTTGATGAGAACGCAAACCACCATTAGAAATCTCAGCCAAACAAAGTTGAGTGCAGAAAGTGCTCCCACCCTGATGGACTTGTATCCTTCTTTTACTTTCCTTGCCAGGGCTATTTCTGTCTCTGCACAGGTTCATGCAGATCTAAGAGGTTTTGGGTTTTTTTTCCTTCTGCTGAGCCGAGCACAACAAGATACACGATGCACACTTTCCTTTACCTTATCTCTTTCTTTTACCTTCGCGCAATTTCACCCTTGTGTGCATCTCATCTCGTCTCGCTTGGCCCTTCCTATCCTCCTCACAGCCTTGTTTCAGTGAGAGCTGTACAATATGTGCTGTCCTTCTCTCTCTCCTTTCTGTCCTGTAACTGCCGTTCTTCAGGGGTCTGCACACCAATTAACTAAGAATCCTGTGAGGTCAGTGATAATTACCTCACCGTTTCATACCCCCGTCTGCCTTCGCCGTCATGTCGGCTGCCGGCCTTTTTCTACTTTTGATGATCGTCTCAAACACACATATGAGTCATACGTGTGAATAAGCAAAGATGCGAGCTCTGTAAAGCCAGCAGAGCAAGTGTGCAGACTGAGGGTGGCTTGTTTGGAAAGATACAGACTTCAACACTTAGAGGTCAGGGTTTTTTTTATTTTTCCCCTCATTTTGTTTATTTTATTGTTTGGTGGTAGCGTGAGTGTGCGTGCGTGGATGTCCTGCAGTATGAAAAAAAAAAGATTTGTTTTAGAATTCACAGGCAAGCAAAATGACAAAATTGCCTTCAGGAACATCCTCTGCTTCTTCTTTGATGTGTTTGGTAGTTAATACTGCAGGATAACTGAAGCGTTAGCTGTCCTGTGTGGTGAAGGCTGTGCACGGCCCTGCGCTCGCTGCAGCATTTGCATGCTGATTCGCTGAAGTCAAATAGACACACTTGATGTGAGGACTGTGTGCATGATCATATAAGAACCATATGTTCGTCAAGAGGTTGGCGGGCTTTATGTCTTTATTTTAGGGAGTAAAGGCCTTTTACGCAAATTATGCTTTGGCATGCCACTGAATGAAAAGCACTGGTGTAAATAATAAAACTACTGAGGCCCACATTTTAATTAGCAGCTTTTTTATCCCAGTTTTGATCCACTGAAAAAAGAGAAAACATGCAGTTGAATTAAATGTTTCCAAATTAAGTAACAAGTAACATTAATGCCACTGGTCGAATTCAGATGTACTAAAATCATTTGATTAATGAACTAATGAATGTCAACTTGAAATTTTTCAACTTAAGCATTTGCTTAACCCAAAAGTAAAAAGCAAAACATGATGTTGTTATTACACTTACATTCTTTCTTTGCTCTGTAATCCTACTGGAAGAAAACAGTGAGTTGAGTTGCAGTAAATTAAAAAAAATTGAAGAAAGGTGAACACACAGTGCTGATGGAGTAGAAAACCTCATTTTTATAGTTTTGCTGAAATTCGAATACTAGTTAGGGGGGAAAAAATGTGATTTCAAGTTGATAGAATCCGCCAAAGAAATCTGCCTTCACCAAAGCAGAAAGTGAGATTTATTTGAAACAGTACTTTCACCTAAACTACAGCTTAGATACACTTTACAGTGTTGAGTGCAGACTGGCTCACTGGAATAGTACAAATGTTAATATTAATAGTAACAACTGTGCTACTCCTAATTTATTTATTTCCTTTATTTATACAGGTATTCTCATTGAGACACGGGGTCTCATTCTCAAGAGAGACATGTTCGCAAATAACAAAACAATGCAATATGGAATATGCCAAGTCACATTGTTTATATGTGAAAGGCCGTTCAAGGTGCTCTGAGGGAAATAAATTTGTAGATTATTTAGAAATACTTAGGAGTTGTGCATGTTTATTTATTTCTATAAACTGATAACCCTGAGTTTTCAGGTTTAACACGGTACCAGAAAAACAACATCATGTATGAAAGTACTGCCTACTGACCACAGATTGGACGCTACTGAATACAATTTTCTTGCAGTTTCAAAGCTCTTTCATTCTCCTATAGGCTTTCTATAGTAGTATAATCCTAAAACAGAGACTGATGAAGCTTAAGGTCTTGTACTTGTTGACCTAATAAAATCTGCAAGTAAGACTACTTACTGGTAAGAATTATTCTCTCCACAAGGGTTGCAGCTGAAAGAATAAAGCTAAAATTGTCATTCATGCAATAAGAATACATGGAAACAACACATTAATTTTATGGAATACACAATGTGATTATAGCCGGTTCTACTTGTGCCTTACAGTATATGTGCATATTAAGCTACAGTGACTGTGTCCCTTTTAGCCTGGATTGTTTTTTTAAATTCCTCATATTAGTTTAAGTTTATAGATTGATCATCTTTTAATATATATGTGGTTTGCGATTGGTTATCTGATGCCAACACCTACCTGTATCGGGTTCGTAGCTTGAGCTGGAAAGCTGTGTTGACTTTACAAGTTGGTAACCAGTTTCATGCTCAGATCCATTTATTTGCCGATTATTTTCTCAACTGACTGTTTTTTCATGGTGCACAATTTGCCCGAGTAAGGTCTGCAGATCCCTTGTTTTGTTTGACCAACAGTTCAAAACCCGAATATAATCAGATTACCAGCACATTTAATGAATGAAAGGAACAGTCTGTCATTGTTGTGATGCTGGGACCTCAGCACATTTCATATTTTGGCTTAAAAAATGACAATTAATCCATTATTTTAACAGTTACTGATTAGTTTTTGGTTGATCATCTAATACATCAACTGGCTAATTTTGTCTCTAAAGCAAAGTGCAACATATACTTTAGTTTTAGGCTTTAGAAGAATCTGACAGTGTATTTCCACACCTGTGAACAGAGCTGCTACTCTGTCTTGTCTTGTGCAATGATGACAGGGGGGAGGACCAGAGCACAGACAGATCCAGGTGGGCAGGATGCTCTAATGAAGCTTACACACAGTTTGGCAGGTTGCAGGCCGAGCGTAAGATGGCAGGTATAAATACACAGGAGCTGACTGGGAATTAGGAACAGGTGAGGTGGGCGTGTCCAAGAACATCAGGTGGGC